CCTCTAAGTGCAGAGGTAAAGCGATACGGCCGGTAGCTCCGCGGGAGGAGCGCGGGGGATGAAACGGACATTAATAGGGATCCAAAGAGACAAAGTAAACCCCGGCGCAGGTATAACGCCGTTACCCAGCCGGCGCCAAGTGCCGATTAACCTCTGCGGGGAAACACACCGGCGAGACGAATGCCGCTCCAAATGAAAGGTGTCAGGTTTCAGGCTACGCTAATCCGCGTGCTCTGTTAGAGAAAGAAGAGTTTGGATCTACTTGCGTCCGTTAGGTTTTCGGGACCTGCAATGCACAGCCCGGGTCCCCTTTCAAGTGTACAGTACGCGGGCTGCGGGGTTCCGGTTACACAGAGCCTCAGGCGGCGGTTTGGCCACGCGACACCCGGATCGGGTGACCATCACAGCACGGACACCTTCACCGTTGTTTTGAGAATATGCCGTTTGCAAAGGACACCTTAGGGTCAGCGGAGCGGGCGGTGGGTGGAGGGGAGAGTAAGAACGCGGGCATTTATCCCCATCCCTCTCCGTCTGACAAATTAAGAGCATTACAGCGGCCTTAATCAGAGCTAGACTATCAATCCTCGATATCCAACTTCGCTCTTTAATTAGCCCCGAAGGCCGCCGCCCCCGGGTTCCGTGCAGAGGCAGATTATCGACCCGCTAATGACTTCTGCAGAGAGGCCGATGGCGTTGCAGCTGCACCTTTACACTTTGTTCTTTGCTCTTCCACAGGGGCGACCCCGGCCTAGTCAAGCTAAATGTAGCCATAACCTGCGGTTACCTCCTCTACGGTGAGTTTCCTCGAAATCCCTGTCAATCATTACGCGTTGCACAGATAGAGCATGTCAACCGGCAAGATTTTGTTTTTGTTTGTTTATGTATCCATGCATGAAAGAGGACACGTGATTCAGATTGCAGGAAGAGTTTAAAAAGCACATCATTCATAGAACAGTGCCAATCAGATTTCTTTCTTCTCAAAACAAAGTGCCCAAGGCCAGATTTTACCTTTAGTTAATAGCTCGTCCCTTGAGTTAAGTTCCTTTTTTATGCTTGGAACGGCCTGTTTAGGTACTTGTTTAATTGTCATTGTTTCAGTACAAAGGCCGGACTGAAAATTAAAAACGGAAACTACTTTGGAAGAGCTCCAGAGAACCTGGAGAACTGCTTAGACCAGTTCCAAAGATTAAAATAAAGTCTGGATGCTTTGTATGGAGATATAAAACAATCGTGGGTGGATCTGTAGGTTCAAACCAGCACGTTAGTTGATTTAAGCTAAAGTCTTTACCCGACATTAAAGGGAGCGCACTTTGAATCAGGAGATACGTTCCTCTTTCTTTAAATGAAGGACAAAGAAGCAGAGTGATGCTGACCCCGTAGGTCATTAAATCTGACTCTGAAGTGAACCTAGTTTGACTTAGATATAATTTTGTTCCTAATCAAACCGCCGTCTTCTCTCTCCCTCTCATCAGACCTCGTGCTGCTGGCCTGTAACTGGAGCACCATGGGGGACAGTTTTTTCGTCTGCCATCACTTGGCGGCGCTCTACGCTTACGGATACGTGCTGGTGAGTGTCCCTCTCCAGGTCCAGATCAGGCCGGGGCTTCCCCTTTCCGCAGCTTGACCGCGTGTGTTTGATCCTCACAGACGCGCGGCGTGCTTCCCTACTTTGCCAATTTCCGTCTCATTTCAGAGCTGTCCACGCCATTCGTGAACCAGAGGTGAGCCCGCCCCCTCCACCTTTACCGGCTCGTGTCATGCTATATGTCAGGCCCATCTCCCCTGACAGTTTTTCTCTCCGCAGGTGGTTCTTCGAGGCTTTAAAGTTCCCCCGCTCCCACCGGTTGGTCGTGCTGAACGGCGTTGCCATGGCGGTGGTCTTCTTTCTGGTCCGCATCGCCGTCATGCCGTCCTACTGGGTCAGCGTCTTCGCCACGTTCGGCACGCCGGAGTTCGAGCGGCTGGGCACCGGGGCCCAGGTGGCCTGGATCACCTCCTGCATCGCCCTGGACATCCTCAACACCATCTGGATGTACAAGATCGCCCGCGGCTGCTACAAAGTCATGACGGGCCGGGGGGGCCGGAGGCCCAAGGAGGGCGGCGAGGCGCCGCCGGCGCCGGCCTCAGACAAAAAGCACGCCAACAACCACACGGACTAACGCAGGACGAAGCCCATTCAGAGTCAGACTTCGAGCTGGGGATGGAGGCCGGAGCCCCCCCCCTCCACCCCTCGGGGTCACATCCCAGCAGGGGGAGAGAGGAGCGCACGTTGACTCATCCTGGCACCAGCGTCCACGAACCTCACGCTTTTCAGCGATTCCTGAAACGTTAGCGGCCGGAGGGGGGAGGTGGGGGGGGGGGGCTTTGGGTTGCAGACAACAAGCTAGAGCTCACAAGCACACTTTTCCCACCGCCCGTCACTCGCCTTGCTCCTTCTTATCCTTCACCCCCTCCATCTCCAGCCAAAGCCCAATCCTCTGAAGTGCCTGTGAAAGAAAAAAACAAAAAAACGACAGGAAAGCAATAACAGTGGAGGAAGAACACCACAACGAGCCCCGACCGAACAGCCCCGCACACGCGCACGCCCCTTAACGAGCCGGCCCCCCCACCCCAGAGTCCAGGAACTCTCAGGCGAGCGCGCCGTGCGGGCTCCCGTCTTAAACTCGCGTGACCTCAGACAGAGACAGGAAAACACCGCAAATGCCTCTCCGATAGTATTACCCGCCGTGGCCTCCTGGTAGCACGCAGCACCAGTCTGTGTCACCAGCCATGCCCCCCCCCCCCCCCCCCCCCCTCCACACACACACACACACACACACACATGTAACACTCTGAAGAGCACATCCTCGGCCTCTGAGGATTTCCTTATGTGAGTCACGGTGACATCATCATCATCATCGTCCATCACAACCCCTCTGCCTCAGCCGGAATGTTTTCGTTCTACCTCTCTCCTCCCACCCCCACAACCCCCCACCCCCCCACCACCCGGATGTCAGAGATTCTTCAAACCCCCTCCTCTCAGTTAGTACTTAGCTGTTTTGGGTTTTTCTCATTGTGTGTTTTTTCGATGCACTAAAACGTGATTTCCATCCTTTGACTTTGATATCTCAGAGGGACTTCCTCGGGTCTCTATCTCTAAAGCGAGGCTGTTAGGAATCCACTCGTTCCCTGTTCGCCACCCGACACGCCGAGTTTGTTTTGTTTTTTTGTATTTTTTTGTATGGAAACACCAAAATTGGTGCTCACCCTCTAGCCGCCTGTTAGCAGCAGGGATGCTGGCAGCGTCCGGTCAGCCGGTCGGCCAGTCGGCCGGCGCGCTGCCCGCCGCGATCTGCATGCCCCCTCTCCCCGCGTAACAACAGGTCGTCTGTGTAGAGCATGGTCAGACTGACTCCATTCTGCGATGCCTTAGCGACTCGCCGAGACCTCATTTATAATTGAACCGGTCCAATGCCGGAGGGGATTTTTGTCTTTCAATACAACCCTTCCTCTCATGAGCATTGTTAAAGCATGAACTAAATGTAGTTTTGGTTCCTTCTCCTCTCTGCATGTCTTTACAGTATGTACACATACGGTAACTGTGCAGGTATGTCTTCTCTTGTTTTTCCTCGGCAGCACCTGGTTCGATCGTTCCCCTTTCGAGCTCCAGTAACCTCCCAGCTGGATTCGTGGCAGGCGGGAGAGCAGGACCGTACAGGTTTAGCTTTGAAGTGCATTTGCGGTGAGCCTGTTCTCCGCTCACACCTCGCTCTCCTCCTCCTTCACGGTTTGACACAGACTTCCTTTGAGCCTTCCGGCTCAATCACCGGGCGCTTCCTCATCTACAAAGGGCCAGGTTGTGCGACAGCAAAAGCGAAGGGCCTGTCGGCAGGAAGGAGGAGGGGGGGAGATGGGTCAGAATCTGCCGTGTCGGCGCCACACAGAGCTACGACACGCACCGAAAAAAACACAACAAAAGAAAGAGTCAGTCGTCAACCAGATAAAAGCAGAATTCGCTGTCGGGCGCCCAACGGCTTCCCTGTCCAGTAAACGCAGCACACAACCCCCAGCCCCCCCCGCCCCCACTGGGATTTACTGGAACCACTGTGCACATCTGTGGATGCAGAGTTGCTCAACAGGTTGGGATGTAAAGCAAAGTTATGCAATGAGAATATGTAGCGATTTAGAAAATGAAACGGTCAGAAACAATACAGCCCCTAGCTGACGTTGAATAGACACTAAATCCAACCCCCTCACACTTATTTGATTTTTGTTTTGTTTTGTTTTGTTTTTAATTGTGTTGGTAGAGTGTTTAATCCAAAGCTCTGATTTCACAGCAGGTTTGAAGTTCAGCACAAGCCCCCCCTCCCGTAGAGTGAAATGGACAGTGGAAGGTGTCTTGTCCAGGTCGGTCGTACACTCCTCAGGTTTTCCGTCCCCCCGTACACAGCACAAACACAAACTGGAAAATGTCAAAGGAATCGTTCCCAAAAGGGGGGGGGGGTTTGGGGCATCAACTGGCCACCAGAGGGAGCTGTTCGGTCTGCGGTGGAGCCTGAACCTTCCGTCTCCTGACCCCCACCCCCCCTCCGGCCGTTGCCCATCCCACCGTTTTCTTGATCTGATCTTTTTAACCTCACGGCCAGCCGCGCGCGCTCGGACTCGGACTCGCAACCGTGGACAGTCTCTGAGAACCCCCCCCCCGCAAAGCACACTCTGGGACCTCCTGCCGGCCTCCACAGAGGGGGGGGGCTGCAGTCTCTCGTGCCTTCACACAAGCCGCGGACGTGATGCAGTCAGACCCCTTTTTCCTTTCCTATATTTCAGTTTTTTTGGGATAAGCATGAACTCTATCAGTCGATTTTTTGTCCTCGTGTATACTCTACGTGTATATTTTTCTAACCTTGCCTGCACAACGATTTATCCGGCCAAGTATTATAACCCAAAGCTGATCCCTCAGGGGGAGCCTGTTTAGTGTTGATTTAAAAAAAAAAGAAAGAAAGAAAAAGAAAGCATTTTTAACGCTCTCTTGAAGAAGAGCATGTCTCTGAATGTTACGGTGAAATGATTTAATGGCATTACAGTGACGTCCCGGCAGAAGAATGGCAATCAGCGCATTTGGACTCTTGAAGCTGTCTGTATGTGTGGTCGACGGGAGGGGGGGGGGGGTTTGGTTCTTTTGGGGGTTTTTTTTTGTTCATCTCAAATCTCCGGAAACCTTCCGGAACTTCAACGCTGTGAATGTGCTGCTGAGAGCGGGAGTTTTAGAAAAGTTCAGAGTCAGTACAGTCCAAACGGGGGGCTTTTTGAAATCATCAGGGTTTTCTACAGAGTGTTTTTTTTTTTTTCCCCTCTCCTCTATCTCTGTTTGGGGAAATGAATGTGACTGTGGATTCGGGCATTGAGTTAACCACGGTTCCGATTCTGATTTGTATTCTATACAAAAAAGGTTCGGACAACCAAGACTGCCTCCTGGGTCATTTTTTTGGGGGAGATCTCAGTCCAGTTATAATGATCAGGCAGTATTAAAGGATGTTTAGGAAAGAAGAAAAAAAAAGATATCCAGGGAAGAGCGTTATGTCCTGTCATTAAGTTATTGATCTGCCAGGTACTTTGTGGCAAAGTTGGAGGCAGCTTTTTTTTATTTTTGTCCCAATTTTGCTTTTCTAAAGGCTCTAATTTCAACTGTGATTGATTGTGTTGGATGAAATGTCACTGACTGAATCTCAAAGCTGACCTTTGGTCGAAATGGACTTTGAAAAGTAACGATGATTTGTTTTTTGTCTTTTTTCCGGCGTGCCCCCCCCCTCTCCTCCTCTGTATCTTTTAAAGCAATGCAATATCTTGTTATGATCTTGTTCATTTTTCTTTTGTTTTATGTGTTTTGTTTTTTTTTTTCAGGAGATTTTAATGTGAAGCGGCCTACACTACACAAAGCCCTCGGGGGGGTGGGGGGGGGGGGGGGGGGGCTACCTGAGCCCCTTGTGAATCGGACTATCGTCTACGATGACCACTACTAATGATCACGTTAATGTAGTGCTGAAAGCTGAGACTTACTTGAAAGTGCTGTTCTTCAATAAAGTTGAACACGAGAAAAAAAAAAACTGAATGGGCTCGTAGTCTCACTCCAAATGTTTACTTCAAACGCCTCTTTCTCCAGAGAACGCCTGCCGTAAATTAAACCAACGGGACGGTTTTTACAAGTGACCGTGTGTTTAAATAAAGTGGTTAAAACACAACCTGTGACCCGCTTGAAAGAGAGAATATCCCTTTGTTTTAGTTTTTTGGGTTTAATGTGGAAAAAAGGTAGATGTGTGATGTTCAAAAACGCTCTCAGCTTGGAATGGGGATTAAAATGGGCATTTCTAAGAGCCAAGTCTCCTGATTAAATACAGGGACTGGACTTTTTCAATTTGTAGTATCGCTCTTGAATGTGTACAGCAACAAAAAAACGAACACAAATCTATAAGTGAGTCACAATATGTGAAAAGTATAAGAAAAAAAATGGATTCCTCAATCTTTTTCTCCTTGTTCCAAATCTTGTTTGCATCAGTGCAATTGTTTAAGATCTGTTGATTCAGCTAACCTTTCCTTTCCTTTAGACAGGGCAAATGTTAGCATTATTATACAAAAAAGTACCTCTAAGACTTAACGTAATGGTCAAATTTGCAATTGGTGCAAATAGTTTAATTTTGGGACAAAGGAAATGGGATAAAAGACATCCACTTTAAATCTTTGCCTGAGATTTTTTTCTCTGCAATTACATTTACATTTTGTAAATAAATTGGACAAAAGTACAAGAGTGCTCGAGTTGGCACAAAGATAAAAATGTCAGCAGCTCTGCATAACTCCATCCCTGTTTTTTGTCCCTACTTGCTGACAGGCCAATTTGTTTTGTGCCTTTAGTTCTTTTTTTAATCCAACAAACAAACAAAGAACCATTAATGCTCATAATGAACTTCTCCCTAACTTTTTCTTTGTTTTTGTAATGAAGAACTTGCTTATTTAAGCAATACAATGCAAAAGCATATGCTACATGCCAGATGGGTCATCAACCAAAACATTTGCTTTACACATTTATTACCAGGTTACCACCTCATAGCAAGAAGGTTCTGGGTTTGAGTTCCCGGGGGAACCAGGACCTTTCTGGGTGGAGTCTGCATGTTCTCCCTGTGTCTGTGGGTTCTCTGTGGGTTCTCCAGCTTCCTCCCACCATCCAAAAACCTGCATGTTAGGTTGACTGGGCATTCCAAATTGCCCTTAGGAGTGAGTGTGCGTGGTTGTTTGTCTCTGTGTCACCCTGCGATGGATTGGTGGACTGTCCAGGCTGTACCCCGCCTCTCGGCCATTGACCACTGGGATAGGCTCCAGTTCTTCCCACTACCCCATTAGGGAATAAG